CCTCCTTACTGGCGGCCAAGGAGCTGCTCCAGCGTCAGCCCGTGGGGGCGGGAGCGCGGGCAGGGTTAGTTACAGTTTCGCGTGGAAATGAGCAGTAAATTCCTGGTATCGCCGTGTATTGACACTGCGTCACGGGTGTGCGTGGCCCCAGCAGGCCCCGCAGTTATGAAGGCAGGGCAGTTAAAAATGGCTTTACCCCGAGAGTACAGGCCTAGCCTTGAACGGAGCCACTGAAACCGTGGCATGTATTTTTACCATATTAAATATCTGACTTCTACAATACACGCATATATTTCTGTAGTAAACTAGTTCTTTGCTAGTCCAGGAGCAAGTGTAGGTTTGTAGGGCTAGACTGTCTGTCAGCAAGCAGGGAGTGACACTTGGCAAAGGCTCGTGAGCTGGACACTGCTCTGGTTTTCCTCCTGTGTAATATTGTACATGTCTTTTGCAGGGTAAACTTTTTGACTCTACAGTAGCTGATGAAGGAACATGGACATTAGGTAATAACCAGTTTCTGAAGTGACATTTTGAAAGGAGTAGAAATTCTCTGCAGGAGTAGAAATATGTTACAGAGTAATAGGAGTGTTTTGTTAAGAAAAAGATGACTTTCTGATTTTGGTTCTGATTCTCCATATGTAGAGTAACATGAGCTGTCATTATTCTTTGACTAAGGGGATGTAAATTTAATTGTGAGATGGTCAGCATTATATACTAATTTTCTGGCCTTTTTGTGTGATAAGTGATTTAAGTAGAGGCATTGCAAAAAAACATAGAGATTACAGGTGATCGAGAAATGCCTATGTTGACTGTACATCTTACAAACATTTCTCAAGGCATGATTTTTGCTTTCCAACTAAAATTAACATTGATTAATGACTTAGTGACTTAATCATGAAAATCTGAACTGTCAAGTACTTTTTCCCAATATGTGAATAACTTTGAAATTGCACTTTCCCATGCTGTGTTTATTCAGCTAGTGATAGATGTTTTACATGATAACTCTGAGATGTTATTTCAATATATTCAATGGATCTAAGTGTATTGTCTACCTTTAAAGAAAAGATTATTATATCTGCATATGTCACTTAAATTCATTTCTGACTTTTACCAGTAATAATGTTCTCTAAAGCTGCCGGCCTGACTTGAAACCTGTAGTTAGTGCCTTATCTGAGCTGTACACATGAATCTCTTCATATATCTAAATCTCTTGCCAGGTACACCCCCCAACTTAGTTTAGGTTTGCCATAGAGGTACTTAGAAGCTGTATTCTAATCCAGAACAGCTTTGGTGTTTCAAAGGCGAAAAAGGGTGGTGGCTGTATAGTTGTCTTTACTTGAGCTTTTCCATTTCTTCATTATTTAGTAATAGCCACATTGGCATCAGCATTAAGAATTGATTTTTTTTTTTTTCATTAAGTGATTTAATCCCACATTTTCACTTGTTAATGGTGAACTCAGTGAAACAATTTAAAAGCAGTATCACTATAGGAATAAGTCTTTTTTTTTTTCTTTTTTCCTTTCAATATCTTCATTCAACAGAGGATCGGAAACTGATACGAATCGTTCTTACAAAGACAAACCGAGATGCTGGAAATTGCTGGACATCTCTGCTAGAAAATGAATACGCTGCTGATCCTTGGGTACAGGACCAGATGCAGAGGAAACTCACCCTGGAGCGATTCCAAAGAGAGGCAAGTTAGAAGCCTGGGTTACTGCCTGTGTGTTTTTGTTCAGCAGACAACCTAACTATGGTGCTTCAAGATTTATCTGTTGGTGCATTTTCCAACCAGAATTTCAGAGCCATGACAGTTTTGCATAACAAGGATGATAGCTGTATGTCCTTGCTAAAGTCCCAGAAAGTTTAAAAAAAAATATCTGATTTCTACCTGATTTCTACATCTGCAGTAACTGCAATCTATTTACATTTTTTTTCTTTTATCTCCCTCAGAATCCTGGATTTGACTTCAGTGGGGCAGAGATTTCTGGAAATTATACCAAAGGAGGACCAGACTTTTCTAGTCTTGAAAAGTAAACTGTCTTCTTTAGAAGGAATTATACAGTGCACTTAAGGACTGGGATATATAACCATGTGAAGACTTCAGTGATCTATTCAGCAGAAAATTGGTGATTACTTCTTCCTAGGAGAGAAAGAAGACCTCTTGGAGCAGCATCAAGACAAAGTGTCAGCAGCTGATTTTTAAGCTGGGATAACTTTAAACTATTATAGACAAAATACAAAAAAAAAAGGTATATTCTTTAAAAAATCACATCTTTTCTTACATTATTTTGAACTACTTAGGTACAAGTATACCATTTGGCTTTGTATGAGAATGTCATCTCTACTAAATTTTGAAGAATAGACCCTGGAAGCAAGACGCTTAACATTTTTTCTTGCAACAGGAAGGATTATAGGAAGGCTCACTCAGAGTTCTCTAGGAAGGTGTAAATTTCATTCTAAAATAGTGATTTTAATAAAGTAACTATAGCATCTTGCAGAAAATAAGGTTCTGTAATCCATTGCTTTGTTGATTATAGGGCTACTGTTTAATCCTAGCTGCTAGGTTAAGTAAGTGATAGCAGAAGACAGAAAGATCAGGTGAAAGCATCTATATAAATAACTACTAATGTAAAATCAGTGCAAGTATTTGAAATTCGGAAATGAGAGGAATATTTAATGATTCTTGAAATGACAGAATTCATAAGAAGCTATTAAAGAAATACAAATCCCAAACTAGGAAGTTATATCTTCCATCTATTCACAACCACCAAATTTATTTAGGTATCAAAGAATAGGCAGTTGTAGATTTCTTTAAAAATACTTTAAAATTTATTAGCCAAACTTTAAACTTGGCTGTTGCCTGATTTGGTATTTTACATGTGGACATTATGCGTCAAGACTTTCTATTTATTCACTTAAAGATGCACTTGAGAACTGCTCCATCAACAGCACTATAAACAGCTAATGTTGTGTCCAGACTAACAGAGGAAGGAAGCATTAGTGCCAAACTGAATTCCATTACGAGCACTGAAATTACTGTGTACAGTTAGGCTCTCAAGTCCCTTCGCTGGTAAGAAATTGCCAAAAAAAAAATCACTGCATTGCTGAGCCGTTAGCATTTAAATATTAAATTTACATCATTATTTCCATTAACATATGACAAAAAAAAAAAAAAGGCTGGGGACAACTGCTTGTAATCCTGTCCAGCACTTTCCTATTGCACCAGCAAGTGCTAAACACTTCTCAAGTCATTACAAACCTTCTATGACTGTCAACTCCCCTGCTTGTAAGGTATGCTCAGAAAATATATTTGGATTATAAAGAATTTTTCTCATTATTAGGAAAAGGAAAATAACAGTCAGCATCCAAAGCTGATTTGTGTCTAGAGGTTTTATACCTTCACTAAGTTCTTAGTATGCAAGGGGGCTGCTGTAATTAAGGAGAGCCCCAGAAGTAATTTAGGCTAGGGGAAAGCCAGCGAAGTTCATCTTGCTTGAAATGCCAAATAAAATGCAAACTGGATTGCAATGTTTTTGCTTGGAGCAAAGACTTGGATCTTGATATTACAATTAGATTTGGATGTCAGACTATGAGTAAGCAATATTAGAAAAATAATTTAAGAAAGCCTCAGCCAACTTGAAATATCATCACATTAAGACAGATACGCTGTTGTCTTTTATTCTAGATGGTTTTTCCTTTCTTTGGATTTGGAAAGGTGACAGGCTCAGTGGAAATAAAATTATCAAGGACAGTGAGTCTTAGCCGTTGGTTCTCTAGCCTTCCTTCTTCAGCCTCAACCTGCTCAAATAAAGGAAGCTCTCACTAACTCCTCTCCTCCTGTATGCACTTGTATTTTTTTTCCAGGCACTGCACAGGTACAGGTTTCCAAGTAAGAAGTTTCCTAATAATTAAGAGAAGTTACTCAGTTGACCACATTTCCATGTTTTATTAAAAGGTACATCTCTTAATAATGAGGCATGACACCACCATTACATTGCACAGTGCATCCTTACCCATTTCTTCCAGAACACGAGGGCTGCTCTCTGCAGTGCACGGCTGCTGCGTGTCAGTGCCCAGTGCACGCAGTGGGGGCAAGACACATGGCCCCATCTCAAACCCTGACCATTCGAGGGCAATTTTGATTTGTTCAGCACAGCACTTCGGTATGAAATCTTTTGTGAAATGTTTATCTACAGTTTCTGTTTGAGATAGTGAAGGAAAATGATTCCTTCAGCAGCTATTAAGATAAAGAAGATAGGTTTGGTAGGCTAACATCTAGGCCCACACCATCTTCACAGCATTCACATTTCTCCTTCCCTGCTCAGGCAGTTCCTATGGTCCTCGCTTAATAACAGGCTGTAAGTAATAGCTCCTCTTTACAGTGTCATAGAATTCAAAAGCTCTTCAGCAACATTCCCCCATCACAACTATCCATCTGACCTGCTGTAACACTCATCCCTTCCACCTTAGCACCAGCGATATGATAATCCTCTTAAAAATACTGACCTCATTTTCAGGAAAGAGTTGTATTTTAATGAAGCTTGCCATTAAAGAGAGCAGTTGAAGTAAATTCCAGTGTTTCTCAGCAAGATCACTCTTACTTATGGGCGAGTATGGGGAAGACGTCCATACTCTTACAGAGCATATGAAAACATCCATGCTCAGTATCAGCCCTTTCCTTGTCTTGTACAACTGCACCATGGAAGACTGGTTTCACATCTGAGGCAGGTGACTCATTGAATTTCCTTCAGCCTTTCTTATGTTTCATTAAATTTCTGTATCATTCACCATCTCAGTAAGCTACGTTTCTTACAGAGTAGTGAACCTAGTAAGGCAGTGCCCCGTACTTGCTCTTTCAAGGCAATCAAGTAACTTCCATACATTCTCTCCTACTCAAATGACTTGTCCCACACAGCCAACACCATCACCCAGCCTCCTTTTTCATGAAAGTACATTGAACAAGAGTGCCCCACAAGCACGACAAGGCCCCAGGACACCCCACACCTGACACATCTGGTTGATGGCTACGCATTTGCTCTTCTCATTAGTACCAAGCCGTATGGTTTTTGGTTTAAGAAACAGCCCGACTAGGGTACTGCATGGGATCTTTTCCTCACATTCTATAGCTTTCCAAAACTGAATCAAAAACCTGCTTCAGCACCTGCACTTACAGTAAACCAAGGTTAGACTACACAAGCTGCCCTACAGATTATACCGTGTTAAGAGTTCTGTGCATCAGTGTTGTGGTGCTTCAGTGTTTCAAAAGCAAACAACCTAACAAATAAGGCTAAAACCTGACACTGAATATTCCCTGTTGTCATCATCATGACAAGATATCCTTTGCCAGAAGGATCTAGAGTCTGAAGCATTACGTATTTTTTTTTTTAATCAACTGAGCTCTTCATTTAGACCATGTTTCAGACTTCATTTCTCAAATCTTCAGCAGTTTGTAAACTAGGCCACAGGATGGTCATCTGTTGGTTTTACTGTACTCCTGCAAGGGAAAAAACATAGTCAATTCAAAGGCTTTCTAGAAGAGGCAAATAAAGCACCAGGCTTTAATACAGGACGATAACAGCTGCTACAGAAAATACTGTAGCCTTTAGAATTAACAACTAGATTTTGAAGTAATGGATGTTTTCTACACAGTTAAGAAAATACAAATAATTTCAATACAAGTAACTGAATGGCGGTTTCTGGAGTTTAGGGTGCGGACAGTTTAACAAGTGAACCTGCAGAAAACTGTCTACCTTGTAATAGCTCACTTCGACTGTTCAAGTGATGCACATTCTAGTAGCTAACTGCTTTTTGTTACACAATTCCCTTCAGAGTAGGTGTGAGCTGCATTTCTTCCTTTGCCTTTTTGCTAGTTTTATCCCATATTTTAGTCAGAATGAGGTCCCAAGGTCTGTAGATCACAGTTCTGGGCTCACCAGACACCAAAGGATCAGTTCCTACTTCAGATCTTAACATACTAGCTTGCCATTCCTGTAGGTACATGCTCTGGATGAAAAATGGATCAGTCTAAGACAGGCCCACTAGGTTGGGATCAACAGGCTACAGAATTCCAAGTTTTGAAGTATTTCACAGCTAATCACTTGCACATTATCATAAGCAGATTTGACAGATTGCTACCTATTATGAGCTGGTCTCTGGAATTGTAGGGAGGTGTGTTATCCTGTAATAGCTGTGTTTAAGCTGCCGTGCTGTACGTCCAGACACAACCCATTTTAATTTCTGGATGTTTGGTTTGGAACACTTGCTCGAGGAATACTCAGTAAGGCACTTGGACACCAGTTCCTTCCAGAAGGTCAAATCTCTGCTGTTTATCTGAAGAGCAAAGCAGAATCCCAGACAGGTTAATACATTAAATGCTTACTTCACATAAGCATTTTTAGGTTCTTCACCTAGAAGAAAGATGCCAAGCCAAAAGGAAGAAAAGACAGCAGAAACATCTATGTAAACATACCAACCCTCTCCCCTATGAATAGGTGCTCTCATGTATTTCTCGCCCTTCCCTCACTCAAGCTCAATGTATCCGCACCTTGGAATGTATCTGCAGGAATTCCAACACCTCTGTCAACTCCTGTAGTTTCTGTTCTTCTATCTCTAGTGCCAAAATCGACAGTGCCAGGACAGAAGGCTGGGGAGAGAGCAAAGTGTGATGATTTTTGGATGCCATTTCTTTATCTTTCAGTAGTCTTGTATTATCTTTGCACTTCCAAGACTTTCATTTACCTTGGCTTTAGAAAACATGATTTTGCAGTGACAGGCCTTAAGCTGGGTCTCAAGTCTCTCAAAATTCAGATATTTTCTCCTACAATAAAAGCAGTGAGTGAATGTCACAGAAGAAAGCAAACTTAATCAAGACAGCACCACGCTCGTAGCTCACACAAGTGGCTAGAGTGACCTTGATTTAAATAAGGGCCTCCTTGTCCAGAAGTTGCAGGGTTTCTGCCCTGCAGTCCTAATGCCATGGGCTACATGGAAAAGTTGCACTGTCACAACAGCCTGGCTAAAAAGGACTTCAAATGTTTGTAGCACAAGGAACATCTTTCTAAGCCAGAAGATTCTGAAATCTTTGCAATGAGGCAATACCTAATACAGTGTGAGCAGAGGTTAATACCACGGCTGTTCAGCAAGTCCAATTTTATGCTCAGAGCGCAATACTCTTGGGTCTCTTTAAGCAAACAACATTTCAAGTTCAAACCAGAACTGTTCACATTTGTCATGTTTAGCAAGAAAAGGAGGAGTTTTCCTTCATTTTCACCTTTTATGGATAGAAATTACTTCAGTTGTTTGTGTTGTTTTTCCCCCTAACTCCCATGTAGGTTTCCCGCATCTGCAGTCACAGCAGAATGGGCTTTTAGGCATTTTACCTTTCACAGCTTAAATTCTCCTGAACGAGTGAATGGTAGAGTTGCAGAAACTGGAATGCTGTTGTAGATTTCACTTTCCAGGACAGCTTCTCTAATATGATTTTCTCCATTCTCATCATATCAGAAACAGTGAATCTGTACTGGCTTATTCGAATCAAGTCAGTGGCTAAGGGGATGTTTCTCTCTTCTTCTGTTGCCTTCACAGCCAAGTAGAAACAGCTGAGTCCAACACATCCTAAATATTTAGGCTGGACCTAAAAATAAATCAGTGTGTCCTGTTACTTTCCAAGATCGAGAATTTTACCAGACCATGTAACAAACTGAACTATATATTATATATAAAAGGAGATATTTAAAGAAAAAAGGGGATTTTTAAAAATAAATATTGAAAGATGACATTTTTATTCACAGACATGGCTCCCTTTGTTTCATTACATGAAGAGGCCTTCAACACACTGCAAGTTCTGCCTCATTCATTTCAAGAGCAGATTGGCGAAACCCTCTCTTTTAAGGAAGGCCCAAGCAGTTTAAGCAGGCTCTAGAATATCTTCATCAGGAGCCTTCAGGACCTCAAAAACTGCACTTGGTGGCTTCTGCCCAGAATATTTTAAAAAATGGATTTTACTCCACGGCTGTCAGGGTACTTATCCTACAGCTTATTTTGCAGCCTATCTTGCCAACCATCATATTCTCACTCAGTCCACCTGAGGTGCTGGGTTTTGTTCAGGGATACATCCATCAGAGACGCGATCCTGAGCGCCGAGCGCAGCCAGACACTGGGAGCTGGGAGCAGCTCCCGGGCGCCAGGCGGTCCTGGCAGGGGCGCGACCCACCTTGACCCTCGCGAGGAACCTGTCCAGGAGGTGCACGGCCAGCGAGAAGCTCTCGGTGCGGCAGGCGAAGAACTGCGCCAGGCTGAGCAGCTCG